TGGGCAGTCTATCTGAAGTGTACCTGGCGTATAAGACGACCCCCCACTTGGAGGCATATTTTTCAGGGCCAAAAAATCGTCTTATACGCCGACAAATACAGTAATTAATATCATTTAATCCCATTTACTGGCTAGGGAACCTCACAGATGTGAGTAGATTACTTTGAATACCTAGATAACTAGAAATAGAATTTCTATTTATACCTCTTTTAGTCTAGTTTAGTGATTCTTAGACTTTGTGATTTCTAAGTTATATTTCATGGGAAGGCTGAAATATGTTTGGTGCTCTTGAGGAATAGCCAGTATGACTGCCAAGGAGTGGGCGAAGGGGAGGTAGCAAAAGATGATATTAGGTAGTGGGGTCAGATCATATAGGGCCTTTAACTTTTGCTGGGAGTGAGCTGGGAAGCCATTAGAGGATTGGAACAAAGAACTAACATCATCTGACTTCAGCTGAAACAGGAAAAAAAATGGAAGGAACATGATTAGGGAGGAATATGAGAATTTTGGTTTTGAGATGTTTATTGATATCCAAATGGACAATTGGATATAAAAATCTAGAGTTCAGAGGAAAGATCTAAATCAGCGCTGTATAGTGGAACTTCTTGTGATGATAGAAATGTTCTATATCTGTGCTCTCCAGTTTGGTAGCCAATAGTCAAATGTGGCTCTTGAGGTCTTAAAATACAGCTAATGTGACTGAGGAACTGAATATCAAATTTAATTTAAATTTATATAGCCACATGTTGCTACTGGCTAATGTATTGGACAGTACAGATCTTGTCTGTAAATTTACATTTAGGACCAGAAAACATAAATAAAGTTAGACTAAGTGAGATAATGAAATTTTAATAGGGGAAAAAGAAAAACTGATGAAGAAGTATCTAAATCTAGGGTAGTGAAAGAGGTTTGGCAGTCCTGGTGAGGGACTCAGCTACCAGGGCAGGCAGCATGAAAGTAATGTAATCGTAATGGGAGGTGGGGAGCAGTGAGCAAGAGTGATGTGAGAAGAGCTTTTGAAGAATTTGCCTTGCCAAAAGTAAACTTTATTCAGGGTCAATCCTGCCAGGACAAATTGTTTAATTTTCTAAGCTATTTGAATTTTCTCCTCTTGAGATTACCCCAGTTCTCTAGAGGAACTAGAGATGCTTTTGAGTTAATAAGCAAACACTAGTAGAAAGACTATAAGAGAAACCATTAATTGCTTTCCTAGCACCAAGCTGAGGAACCACAAGGGAATGGGAATTTTGATTGGCAAAGGTTAGAGGACGAGTGGATTTTAATTTGGAAATTTTTGTTAACTAGAGTAGTAGAGCAGGACAACACATGGACAAGGCTTGTTGTAGGGCTTTGGCATAAAGAAAGGAACAGAACAAGCTAGGATACCTAGGAAGTACTAAGAGGTCTAATAAAATCAAATGGGGAAGAAGTGTGGCAGAAATGGTAGGAAGATAATGTAAAAAAAGTATCACACAAATTGGAATTTATACTATGATTTTACTCATCCAAAATAATTTATATGGTGATTAGACTAACATAGTATTATAGGAAGGAAAATGGTTGTTGGGATGGCGGTGTTCTCTGACTTTAAAAGAGATCATTTATCTTTTTAATGTAAATATATAGGTTGGTCAAGGTTGGAGCATTTTAATATTGCCCAGGGTTGACCGTGTCTCCTCTTTTCCAAATGCTCACCTGGGATAACCTAACTACTGCCAAACTTTCTCTTCCATTTTTTGGCCTAACAAAGCTCTCAGGTTTTTGTTTTTTGATTTCTGTTTATCTGGAATATCCCATTAGTAGCAAAGTCTATGGATTCTTTCTTTGAAATTCTTTCTCCTCTTTATATACTGATACTTCACAACATGATTTATTGCAAACTCTATTATTTCCTTTCCCCTCCAAATTAGCCTACATACCAGTGTTATCTTTTGAAAGCATCAATTTCATCCTGTACATGTCTAGTTAAAAACATAAGCTCCCTTATGATTTTTTACAAGCAGCCATATTACTTATGATTTATTATTATCTGATTGAGTTTACTCATCCAGCCATGTTTCCCACCACTCTGCAATATAAATCTTACATACAAACTTTCTTATAAGCTTTCTGTATGAAATGATGTTTCTTAATATGTACTTTTTCTATCACTCTTTTTCCCTCAAAGAATGCTGTTTCCTTCACTGCCTTGCCAAGTACTGCCCATTTTTCTGAATCCAGTTTAGATACTACCCTCTCCAAAATGTATTTCTGAGTACTACAGACTTTATCAATATCTCTTTTCGAAATTATTTGGTAGTTAAGGCATTTATTACATTTTCACTATATTATACTTTATCGTTATCTTATTCTCTGTTCCCTGTATGTTCTTTGCCCAACCAGATTATTGGTTTTTTTAAAAGAACCATTCATCTCCTCATGTTTTCTTAATCCTTTACTAAACACAGACTTTCAAGAAATATTGATTGAAATAGTATTGTTGACCAATTTCAGATAATAAAAGTTAGATAAACTAGACTAGACAAAGCAGCACTCTTAAGAGTAAATTTAGGGCTGGCTGAGTGGTGCATTGGTTAAGAGCTGGCTTGGGACGCCAGAGGACCCCGGTTCGGATACCACATATGAGGGCCAGTGACACTGCCCTCTATAGCTAAGATGCTGAACAACAGCTCAACCTGGAGCTGGGCTGCCATGAGTCGCCGGTGATGGCAGGTGAGTTGCCATGGGCTACCGTATGTAGCCAGCAGCCAGCATGAGCGGCCAGCAGCCACTGTGAGCAGCCGTCCAGAAGCTGGTGACTGATCTGCCTCGCCCGGGAAGAGTGCAGTGATGGTGCCAACTTGGGCCGGTGAAGCAACATCCTCCACAACTAGACTGAAGAACAAAAGGGCAGCAACTTGTCTGTTCCCCTTCCCCCAATTCCCCAATAAAAATCTTTNAACAGTGCTGGGGATTGGGGGAAGGGGAACAGACCAGTGTCACTGGCCCTCATATGTGGGATCCGAACCGGGGCCCTCTGGTGTCCCAAGCCAGTTCTTAACCATCGCGCCACTCGGCCGGCCCCAGAGTATGCTTTTGAATAAGTCAGTTAAAATATTTACAGTCATTAGCTATAATATCTGTGTAACTCATTTGACAATTCATTTGAAAAATTAATTTATGTGTTAAAGCTGAATTAACTTTAGAAACTTAAACTATAATGTATGTATCTACTTTAAAATTTTTATTGTCAAGTATACAGAAAAGAACACAAAACAGAGATATCTAGTTTAACAAGTTATTATAAAGCAAATATTAGTGGAGCTACCATGCAAGTCAAGAAACAGAGCATTGCCAGCACTTCAGATGTGTCTTGTATGCTCCTTTCCAACATCCTTATCCCTAGGGCTAACCATAATCCTGATTTTTATAGTATCCCTTTCCTTACTTTTTCTTTATAGTTTTATCACCAAATGTGCAGCTCTAAATAATATAGCTTAATTTTGTCTGTTTCAAAACTTTACAGGTAGAATCATGTGGTATGAATTATTCAGTGTGTGACTGATACTTTAATACTGTATTCATTTTAGCCATTCAACAATAAAAAATGTCAATGAAGACTGAAGTAATAGGATATTGAGTTGTGGTCAAGCCTGTCTTCAGTAAAACTGCTCTGTGGGTGATCTGTCACAGTATTTTTGGTGCCTCTTCCTGCCCTTTAACTGCATTTCTATCATGAAGAACACTGTTGCAGGTGCCTGATGACAATCATGATGGGTGGCGAAAGGCAGAGTATTAGGCTTTGAAAACAGATTTTTCAGTGTCTCTATGAGACCTTATATTATTTTGTAAATTTTATGGTGATAGGATTGACTTTGTTATATTTTATAAAGATTTGTTATAAAGACTTTAATAATGTAAATGTTAATGTATACATATACACACTTGCGTTTCTGACAGAAGGAACACTTTAATCACCTAAAACATTTGATTTTATGGAAAAAATACTTTGTTTTTCAGGTGAAACTTCCACCGATGATGGAAATCATAACCGCTGAACAGCTGATGGAATATTTAGGTTAGTGTTCAACAGTGGGTGATTTTTATATCTCTTTCAAAGTAAAACAAAGTTTTCAAAGCTAATATAGTACCAAATCTCACCTTCCTGAAGTGCTATTATATAATCTACTTTAAAATTATAATTTTTAATCTCTTAATTAAAATTTTGGATCAGTATGCTACTGTTCTTGGGTGTTAAAGCCTTCTTTCTGACCAGGATTAAAATCCTGTAGTATAAATAAGGAGACTAGATGACATCTAGAAAACAAGAAGATAGATATTCATTCTAATAAATTGCAGAATGGGAATGGCATAGAAACTCTGACATTACATGTACAAAGTGTTAAGAAATGCTGAGTAGACTTGAATTCAAGACCCAGGAGGTGATTTGGAGCAGTGCTACTCAAAGTATGATTTATGGACCTATGCCAGTCTATGAAATGTTAGCTTCCAGTCTGCTGTGAGATAGGGGCTTATACCAGAATGTAAACCATTTACATTAATAAGTACACTGTTTAGTTCATCTGAAATTTTTTCATAGCAAAATTTTCTTGATGAAGGAAGCAGTGGTATTGAATTGCATTCTTATGCAAGCTTATTTCAAAATAGACCAGTAATACACAGTTTGCAGACCAACTGCATTGAGTAGAACTTGTTTATAGAGCAGGTAGTTGTGTATCACACTGAGGTCTTTTATAATTTAGCAAATAAAAAATTATATATTTATACTATTACAAATTGGAAATTTTAAATCATAGTCTCACAATATTTTTACTACCGTATTTGCCGGCGTATAAGACGACNGCATCTTAGCTATAGAGGGCAGTGTCACTGGCCCTCATATGTGGGATCCGAACCGGGGTCCTCTGGCGTCCCAAGCCAGTTCTTAACCATCGTGCCACTTGGCCGGCCCACGTCATTCTTTAAATGACTAAGAATCACTAAAAGATAATTGGGCTGAAGTAATGAGGTTTTATCTTATAGTTAAGTATTTGGAGTTGGAGTAGCTATTTCCTTTGTTAATTTAACTATATTATTAATTTGCCCAGGAAATCAAGTTAATACAATAAAATATTTATAGGATAGGACATAATTTATTTTCCTGGAGAATAAAAAGCTTCATTTTATTTGGTCTCTATTGTTTTGGAACTATGTATTACTTTGGGAGGCTTTGCTCAGATTTCAGGAAGACTATTTAAATTACTTATGAGAATACTTTCCAAGTACCCACATATACATTAAATAAAGCACTCTCATTTACTTATAAACGTTATAGATTATAACAGAGGACCGCCTGAGAACCTAGGTCATATTCCATTTTTTTTTTCTAATTATAAAATTTTAAATTTAGAGATTCAGACAGAATGCCACAATAGTTAATTCTATATTCTTAGCTAGCTGTCCCATAACCTGTTTCTCTTTAATAAAATCTGAAGAGACAAAGGAGTGAAAGTCTTAGGATCATTAACAAAATTTTGGCACTTGCTTTGAGGTGATGGTGGTAGAGGAAAGCAAAAAGAGAAGCAAGCTTTTAGGAAGATCATTTTTTGGTTAAAAAAAATTAAGATCTGTTGATGACTCCAAAGTATTAGTGACAGGCAGGCATTTTTTTTCACTACTATATTCTTTTTGTCCCTAGTTTTAATGAACATCCAGAATATTTTATTGGCTAAGTTCAGGAAATCAATATACCACTGAGTATGCTTGTGAATAAGTCAGTTAAAATATTTGTGTATTTGCTGTTTCACTTCTAAAATCTGTATAGAGGTTATCATTTCCTATTTCAAATATTTGAAGCAACACATGGTAGGCAGTTATTATTTGGAAATTTCAAGGCTAACCCCTGAAATTATCTGTGTAGAAATAGAGGATTGTAGAATGTATTTCCCAAATACATATACTGGTTAGTGCCTTGGTTTCTTGATAATTTTATAGTAGGATTACTACTTTAATCAAAGCAGAAGATAAGTAAGGTATTTATTTTTTTGTTGTTGTTTTTTTAAAGATTTTTATTGGGGAATTGGGGGAAGGGGAACAGACAAGTTGCTGTCCTTTTGTTCTTCAGTCTAGTTGTGGAGGACGCTCTCGGCAGCTGCTGACCACTCACGCTGGCTGCTNTTTTGTTCTTCAGTCTAGTTGTGGAGGGCGTTTCTTCACTGGCCCAAGTTGGCACCATCATTGCGCTCTTCCCAGGTGAGGCAGATCAGTCACCGGCTTCCGAACCGCTGTTCACGCTGGCTGCTGGCTACATACGGTAGCCCATGGCAACCCATTGCAGCAGGGGCTGCAGCCTAGCTGTCACCTGACTCACGGGAGCCCAGCTCCAGGTTGCACTGTTGTTCAGCATCTTAGCTGTAGAGGGCAGTGTCACTGGCCCTCATATGTGGGATCCGAACCTGGGCCCTCTGGCTTCCCAAGCCTGCTCAACCAACGTGCCACTCGGCCAGCCCGACATCAATTTTTTTAAATGCAAAATAATTTTGTTTACTTCTTGGAAAGGCAAACATTTAGAAGACTGGTAACACCCATTCTTGGAAAGGCAATGGGTAATAATAATTTTGTTAATATCAGTGAAACTTGGTACAAACCTTTAGAGCTTTATTGTAGTGATAGTGAAAGATGCTCAAATATATTATAAATGGAAGACAAAGAAAGCTCAAAAGAATTAGAGTATGTACTTTAAAAAAAATATGTGAGACTAGCAGTCAATATCGATTTTCTCTGAATAGAGTTTGGGGTCAATTTTATATGCCACCTATTGCTGTAATTTATAATTAAAATCTATTACCTTTGTAATCATAAAAAAGTATTTTAAAAAGGCAACTTCATAATTTCTTTTTACAGGAGATTACATGCTTGATGCAAAGCCAAAAGAAATTTCAGAAATTCAACGTTTAAACTATGAACAGGTAATAGAAACAATTTTTGTTATATTAAAATATGTTATTTTTAACTTATGGATGTATTCATTGGTCTCAGTGGCCAGTCTTTTTTGTATAAACATATATGCTATATAGAATGAAACATATCATTCATTATACAGGACTATGTAGAATGATAACCTGGTATTTTCCTTGCAAAAATTGACTTTCAAGTGATTTTGTCATTGGTTCATCTTTCCTCATTTTATTTATTTATATTTTATAATTAAGTATATTTAAGAGAAAGTTGAGCAAATGATGTCTAGGGTGTGTCATTAGCATTCTGCTGTTTCATAGTTTCAATGGGTCCACATTTCTTAGCATGTTTTTTAGAGATTCTGTTCCATAATATAGGACGGGTCACTAGGCTCAAAATTATTGAAACTGTAAGAAAGCAAGCAGAGCTTCCTTTTCCTCAGTATTCTTTCTTTAACAGTAGACGGCAAGAAGGAATCAGGTTCTTATAATGGAAGGAAGTCTATACCAGGGAAGAAGTAGACATTTTTGGAACCTTTACATTGACTTTCAAAGCTTTTTTATATAGTTTTACCAGTATCAAATTTGTAAAAAGGAAACAAAAACTCATTTCAGTATCGCAAAATTTCTTGAATTTGAATGTTCAGATGATCTCGTTCTAATAGAATGGAAAAGCTAACATGTTGCATTGCATCCCTGTGTGAGGTACGAAATGTGTAACTAAAGCCAAATTGGTATGCTAAGTTATTTAAATTCTATTGAAATGTATAGCTTAAAGCAAGGCTTTCAAAATATTTTTTCCAATAGAAACCTCTTTTCAAATGAAATCTTATGCTAACCTCCAATATATAAAACTAGTAAATGATATTTTATAAATATAAAGTGATATGGTTCAATGTTTATTATTTATCAAATTTATGTCATCTCTTACTGAAATCAGTGAGGCTATTTTGATTAAAAACTTGAAATTAGGAATTATGGATGATAATTGCAATTTCAGTTTAACCTCAGAATTCATTTTACTTCTGTTATACAGTCTGGAGAAAATCCTGATTGATGAATCTTTGCAAATGATATCAGCATTTTGTGTTTCAAGTCCATTTTGCAGTCTCAGGATAACACTTTCATTAAGGTGTTGTAGACTCTTGGAAAATGATTGGAAGTAAAGTTTTCTTTCAAAGTTGAAACAAACAATATCTAACAACCACTTATAAACATGTCAGACAAAAAGTACCCTGCATTTAAAATAAGCTCTAAAACTATTTATAAGGTATTGTGATTACATTACCATTAGCTTTGGGAGTAGTATGTATCAAGCTGATTATGTCTGAGTATGAGCTGGTGTCTAGTGTTCCACAAGTATGATGTAATGTTCTTTTTTTGTAAAATTTTACGTGAGCAGAAATGTTCAACCTAAATTTTAGGAAGACCAGTGCAGAGCTGCTGTCTTCCTAATTAAAACCTCTTTTCCAGAAGTTGTAATGTAAACAAAGAGCATATTTTTCCCAGTTTCACTTAACGATAGATACCCTGACAAAATAAGAAAATATTGTGTATTTGTGTATATGTTTATGAAAGATTTTTAAATTTAAAAATATTTATATTTTATATTATTTTTATATTTATATTATTATAATATATTTTATATTAGCCATTGTCACCCCAATAAACTTTAATTAAAAAAATTTAAATATTTACCATGTTAGAAGTACCTTTGGGGAAAATTCAAAGAAACAGTTTAACCCACTGGCTTAAAGGAACCAATAGTAATTCTTGTGACGGTTGCTTACACCATACCTAAGGTCTCAATATTTTATAATACTATCATAATTTGGATTTAGGAACAAGATGACAAAATACTTACCCTTTTAAACTCTTTGTTTATAAATTTGTTTATTTTTATCACTTATTAATCTTTATGAAGATTATCAAATGGTATCAACTTAGTTATTTTAATACTATATAATCTATAAAAAATATAGAAGATGTATAAAGGTATAAGCATGAGCCCAGGAGCTATTTGAAATTACAATTCCCCTAAAGGATATAGGGTGACTACTAACCTAGAATTTAACAAATATAAAAGAAAAATCAGTAGTAGTAGAACTATAATCCTGTAATTGCTCACTATTGTTACTATTCTCGGGTTCATCTTTGCTGTTGCTTTAGGCAAGCTTTTAAAAACACTGAAGGGAAAAATGTGAACTGATTATTTTTAAGGGTTCAACTTTTGAGAAAATACAGTTGACTCTTGAACAATAGAGCGGCTGGTGTACCGACAAGCTGCACTGTCAAAAATCTGCGTATAACTTTTGAGTCCCCAAAAACTTAACTAATAGCCCACTGTTGACCGGAAGCCTTACCAATGACATAAACAGTCATTTAACACATATTTTGTATGTTATATGTATTATGTACTGTATTCTTATAATAAAGCTAGAGAAAAGAAAATGTTAAGAAAATCATAAGGAAACTAAGATAATATTGAATAGCAACTACAATTGAAAAAATAAAATAAAATCATAAGGAAGAGAAAATACATTTACAGTATTTACTGAAAAAGATCCCCATGTAAGTGGATGCACATACCCGTATTATTCAAGGGTTAACTGTATGTTGTTTTGAGGGAACATAGTTATCAGGAAGAAGTGAAACTGATAAAAGCCAAAGACTTTATAACAATGTTATCCTGTTATAAATCTCTCATTCATAAATTTTAAATATTTTAATAATTTCTGTTCTTATCTGTCTAGTCTCTTAGAATGGAATTTTGTCAGTTACTTGGTAAAACAGAACTTTGTTCTTATGACCTAAATTTGTCTTTTTCAGATTTTAGAGAGTTCCGTGTTTTAATATAAAAGGGTTTATTTCATGTTCACCCTCTCTACTCTAAGCTCTCTAGTTGCAGATAGTCTACTCCTATTTTATATCTTTATATCTTTTAATGGCTTGATAGCATAGTGTCTGATTAACATTAGAGATTCGGTAAAATGTTATTAAATTTTGTATATTGGCTTTTATTTGTTCCACCAAATATNAAAAAAAAAAAAAAAAGTAAATTTATTTAGGTATCTAAAACTGAAAGATGCTTCCCTAGAAACTCAAACTCAGCCTTTTACAGATATCTGATTCTTCTAATAAATGAAATATAGGATACAAATATAGCAATTACGTCCTCAACTATTTGAATAAATAATATATAGAATTTACTCAAAATAAAGCATATTTTTTAGTTAAATGCTGTATCATAACCCCTCTCTGTACACACACGAGCACACATGGCATACATACTATGTGCCATATAGGGTCTCAAAAATACTTGTTTAATAGACTTGCTTATATAGCTCTGTAAAGCAATTAATTTAGTGCTTTTGGAGTTCTTGCACCTATGTGGAATAAAATCTTTACTAGTTAGGTTTTGCTATCATGAAATTCTAATTAGAAGTACAAATAATATGTTAATGTTCATAGGAATTCTTTTATCAGAATTGGAAAGCTTAAGAGAATACTTGATGTATAGTCTTAAGTTTATTTTGAATTATTAATAGAAAATAAAGGTTATATTATAAACAATTTAATCACCTTGTTAGTGATTTGGGAGGGTGGGTGAGAAGCTGGTTTCATATTAACTTTATATCAAAATAAATTCCAGATAAATAAAAGATTTAAACATTAAAAAAGACAAACATAAAGTTACATGAAGAAAGCATACGTGAATGTTTGTATAATTTTAAGAGGTGGAGATCTTTCTACACATGACATTCAATCCAGAAGCTCTACTAGAGGAATTTGATTATATTAAAATTAAATATTTCTGTATCACAAAAAGTAGACAAAAAAGCATGGGGAAGGGCCGGCCGAGTGGCTCAGTTGGTTAAGAACTCGCTTAAGAGTTTGAGCTCTGAGCAACAGCGGTTCGAGTTCCAGCCCGAGCTGAGCAGCCACTGAGCTGCCAACAGGTAGCAGGATGGCTCAGCTTAAAAAAAAAAAAAAAAAAACATGGGGAAAAAATATTTACCACAGATATAACAGTAAATGTTCTAATTCTTCTAATTGAAAAGAGCTTTTACCATTCAATAAGGAAAAATAATAGTTATATAGGCCAGCAATTCGAAGAAAAGGAGTATGTATAATTAGAACATAATTAAAAAGGCAAAATATAAATTAAAAGGTACAGCAGATATTAAAATGGAGCTACATATATTTAAAAGGTGCCACATATGCTGAAAGTCATACATATATTAAAAAGGTGATACCAAATAAAAACACATGTAAAAAGAAACCAATTTTTTTTTTAAAGATTTTTATTGGGGAATTGGGGGATGGGAACAGTGCTGGGGAATTGGGGG